TGGGATCACTAGTGGGGACCACAGCCCACCCTTCGTTTCCTTCTTCGGTGACCGCTGACCCCTTGCCAATGGGGCTTGTTGCGTGGGTGAAGGGGTGTGGGGATCTGAGGGGACACGCCGCATCCCCTCACTGGGATGGCCAGGCTACGCTTCTGGTCCTGGCTCGCCCTGTGCCGAACATTATCTGGGTGTTTCTGGAGGGAGGGTTGGTTGTTTTCCATACCTCAGATATCCAGGGCTCTCTTTTTCTACTCCAAAGTCTCCAGCAGTGAGGAACTGGTTGGGTTTTCCCAGGCGACCTCCCAGGTGGCTGCAGCATAGGGGAAGCTGGTGGGGTTGGGGGCTACCGTGTGCTGAGTGAGCTCAAAACCATGCCACCAAGCACTGGCAAGTCCCACTCCCCTGCTCCAGGGCCGAGAGTGGGGACATTCTGTCTGCGTTGACAGGCTTTATGCCAGTCATGAGCCTTCCATCCTGCATGCTGAGGCCAGAGGTTGTCTTTCTACCCTATGCCTAGAGTGCTTGAATTTCCAGAAGCTGTCCAAGAAGAGTGGAGAGGTCATTTGGGGAGATGCACCCACCATTTGCCATGCTCAGGAGCCTGGAGGACAGCTTTATGTCCTGCTGCTCGGGGACTTGTGCGCATGAGTGCCTACTTTTGTGGTTCCTTCTCCCACTGCAACAGGACCTCTTGGCGAGATGCTGCATGTGTGTGCCCACAAGAAGTGGGTCTATAGCTGGTTGGATTTTAATGGTGGCTTGTGGTTTTTGTGAGGTGATGTGGCCTCGTGAAGTGGCCTGAGCCATACTATGGAGATGCCGTATGTGACTCTGTGTGGGTTATCTAGTGTGACTTGGAGTTCAGCCAAAGTAAGACCAGGAGTTTTGCTGGGGGAGTGATTCCTGTGGCCAGACAAGATTTGTTGAGGTTAGGATTGAGAAGGTGTCTTCTGCTGAGCGCTGTCCTTGTCTGTGCTGGTCGTGGGTGCTGTGTGACCAAGCTTGGTCAGAGCAGCAACGTGGCCGAGTCCCCAGTCCAGCAGAAACTTTGCTCTAGAGTCTGAAGGGTAGTGACACTTGTGTCAGCCCAGAGGCACAAAATACTGGTCTGCCTTTTCAGATTCCTGCAAGCCACCACTGAGGCAGGTGCAGGCGTCGCTGGCCTTCTGTCCCGGGCAGGGGTGGTCACCTCCCAGGATGGGAGGTGTGCGGTGGGAGCACGTATTTCCAGCATGGAAAGTCTGCCTTCTCCTGCTGCCCCCGGTGCTTGCCGACACACCAACCTCCTATTCCTTTGTGCTTTCAAATTCACCCTTAACCTTGTTCTTGGAGTTTTCTTCATCTTGATCCTCTGTTCTCTCTGGCCCATGTGAGTGCTCCTGTTGTTCTCAGAGGACAACCCAGGTTGTTTTGGTCAGCCGCTGATCTATAAAACACATCTTTTTGGTCTGCTCTTTTGCAGACTGTGCTTAGAGGATTGCTGGCGAAATTGATAACATCACCCATCTGGCCATGCAGAAAATCCTCAGTTTTTCTCCTGCTATCAAGGTTTTTGGCATTTGCTTCTCAGGTTGTGGCAGCTGCCCTAGGAAAAATTTCCCAAGGAGTGGTGAGATGCTGTTGTTCTACAGCGACAAAAAAGCTGCAGGGAGCAAAGCTTGGCTCTCCCCAGCCTTGGGGAAGGCCACTGAAAATGTGGAAGTGCTGCAGCAGGCAGGCTGCAGGATGGACCCCGAAACCTGGGCAAGAGAAGCAATTTGTAACAGCTTGTCTTATTCTAATTAGGAAGAAAACCCCAACAACTAAGTAAAATAAAACTTTTGCATACATCTCTTCTTGCTGAAATGCATCACAGTTTCCTTGGTGTCAGGGTTTTTGCTCTAAGTTATAGGCTTTTGCTCCGAATGGATTTATACCTTACAAATCACGCTGTCGGCTCAGAGCTGATGTTCAGGAGCTGAACAGAGGCTGGAGTCATTTCACAAGGGGTGGACAGTAGCCCCAAAGCTTCATTTCAGCATTTAAAATGAGGCTTCCACATGTGAGGCACTCCACGTTGAGGATGATTAACTGAACAACCTTGTTTCAGTTCTTCTCAGGGTCTGGTGGATGTGGCAGGAGCTTCTCTAGTTTAGTTTCCTGGGACTTGTTCCCACTTGGCCCCTGGATTATGTATGTCAAAATCGCCTGTTGTCAGGATGTCTTCAGTTGCTCGCTACATTTTTCTTTCCTTTTTGGTGTCCAGATTGATGCTCGCCTGGGGGATCCCATGTGCTTCCATTGTTGTTAAGTGCCCGAATGGTAATATATTACTCTTCATTTAAAACCTTACCTCGGAAATGTTCAGCAGCACCTAAAAGAAAAGCCCATGGGCTTTTGTTCTTTTTGATGAAGTTGGGAGAAATGCAATGAATGTAATCTCTTGCACTTTGCATAAAAGAACTCAATTTACCAGCTTTGTCTTTAGCTTCTTGACTCCTTGCAGCTTTCAGCTGGCAGCTTCCTCAGTGTCAGGTTCCCTCTGCTCTGCTCCCTCCTGGGACCCACTTTTGTAAAACTTTTGGCTGCAAAAGCATGTCGATACTGGCAGAGCGGCTCACGGCTTGCTACTGGGACGGACTTTCGAGTGCCAAGAGAGTTTGAACCATTTCCTAAGAGACCGTCAGGAGGACCTACATGGTCCCCTGGGCTTGATCCAGGTAGCCTGAGCTCGGGACTGGGTTTGGTATTTGAAAAGCCTTGGTATCCACATCAGGTTTGTCCTCCAGCGAGGTGGGGAGGGTTTGTTAGAGACCCACAGGTAGGCAGGAGGGGCCGGTGGTGGGGTCATCTTGGTCTTGGCATGGCAGTTGGCTTTGAGCTGAGCAGCAGTGTGTGTTTTCCCTGTGAGAAATCTCTGCCTCAGGAGCTGCTGGTGTGACGCTGGCTGGTTTGCACATGGAGAGCTCCTTGTGCGGACGTGGATTTACTTGTGGGTGTCTGCCCACCCCGGTCCGGAGGGCTCTGGGAGTGTCCCAGGCAGTCTGTTACAGTGCAAGATAAAATACCTGATTTTTGGAGCCCCAAACACAGTGGTCTTGGCAGATATTGCAGGTTTATATGTCCCTTTTCCCTTATCCTATTCCTGGCCACAGCAGGTTTTTTTGTCAGCGCTGGGAACATCTGCCCGGCTAAGCAAGATGGGGAGGGAGAGCAGGGCTATCAGATGTGGTGCTGCTTTGGGATGGGGATTAGGAGCAGAGAGGTGCATGAGTCAGGATCCCTTCTGAATTCCCAGCAGCAATGTGGGTGTCCGTCCCTCCTTCCTCCTGAGGGCCTCCTCGCACAGCACTGAGCCGGGACATTTAAAGGTGTTGCTGGATGAGTTTTCAGCTGAGAAAAGACAGACAGCTCCTGCTGCTGGAGGTTTCTGGGTCCTGTGTGAAGCTCTAAAATAAACTTCTTTTTTTTTTAAAAAAAAACCCAAAACTCAACAAAACAACCCAACTTTCTGAAAGCCACCCTGGGTAGCTCTGGAGAGCTGCAGAGCATGGTGCTGCCTGCTCTGGAGGAGCGGAGGAACAGTTGCAAGGGTAGAGGGTAAATGAGCTCTCAGGCTAGACTTGCCTCCCTTTCATTTGAATTCTCACTGTAGCTGTTTAAAGCTGCTCATAAGCAGATGTAAATAACCCTCTGAAGCTTGCTTTGTCCCAGTGAAGAGTTTTTGTTGTCTCCCATGGTACCTCGGGGGTCATAATCTTCTGGGTGGAAGGGAACTTGGGGGTTTTGTCCCAGTGCTGTGGTGCCATGCACCCCGCACCACACGCTCACGTAAAGACGTGCTGTGGCATCTCTGCGTTCTTCATTTCCATACTTTTATTTCCAGAGCACTAGTAGCCTGCGTCTGTCAGCCTGGTCCCTGGGATGAGCCATCTGTGTCACTGCTGTGATGAGTTCTGAAAGCTTTTCATAAATATGTGGTGCAGAGATGGGCTTAAGATCCAGGATTTCTATGGTGGCTCAGCACTGCCCTAACCAAGAAATTTCCAAACCCTTTTGTGCTAAAGGCTATGTGGAAAGGTGTCCTGCAGGACGTCCCTCCTCCCCAGCCTGCAGATGTCAAAAAGCTCTGCCAGGAGGATGCCCAGCACACCATGCGGGTGGGACGGAGCCAGAGAAACCTGCACCGTGCGAATGCCGTTAATCAGGGTGCAAGGCCTCAGAGCGCGGCTCTTCAGCTGTGCTGTAAATGAAAAGCGCTGTATAAATTGCTGACTTGCAAATTAAGCCCAGGATACTCCTGCGCACAGCTGAGCCGCAGGCAGCGGTGGGGCTGCTCTTGGGCTGCCACTCATCGTGCAGAGCTGAAGCTTGCAGAGGGCGAGGAGCAGGCCCAGGTGGTCGGCCAGGAAAGCAAAACTTTCACTATTTTATGAAATGGGGATCGCTGCTGGGTGCTGCAAAAGCTCCCTGGTGCGGGAGGAGGCTGTGCCATGCTGCAGCATCTTATGAAGGATGCTCGCTTCCTCGAAGCATTCATGATGGTTGCTGGGTGTTGGTTTTAATCCCCTACGAAAATGAAGGGTTTAATGTGTTTCTGTAGTGTCAAAACATGATCCTGTCAGGTTTCCAGGTGCAATGTGCATGGTTTGGGCACGAGTGAGCGGCGCCTTGCCCAGCTTGTTGCCAGCCACACCAGAGTGCTGGCCCTAAGAAAACCGGCATGCCCTTGATTTTGGCCGTTCACTGCACTGGGCCGAGGGCCTGACTGGTTGCTGGGTCATTAAAAGCCTTCAAGACCAGTCTATGGCTGGTGTGAAAAAGTCAGCATGAGCACGGAGCGTTTGCATGGCTCATGGAAGGATGTGGAAGGTTTGATACCAAGCAGGCAATTATTTGGGTGGTGGTTGTGCTCAGCAGCTGAGCAGAGTGTCAGGCGTGCCTGGTGCTCCATCCATGCTCAAAGAGATCATCCCGGGAGTTTGCCATGGCTTGTCTCACCGATGCGTGTCGCTCCTCAGGGGTCCTGGTTGGCGTGGTCCTGCGCTATGGCATCCATGTCCCCAGCGACGTCAACAACGTGACGCTGAGCTGCCAAGTGCAGACCAGCCCGGCCACGCTGCTGGTGAATGTCAGTGGAAAGTACTACGAGTACACCCTGAAGGGAGAAATTAGTGCCCAGGAGCTCAATAATGTCCAGGATAACGAGATGCTAAGAAAGGTAAGGGAGTCGGAGATTGGAGAGGTGAGTGATGCTCCCCACTCCCTCCATGGGAATGGGTCCTGTAACTGCTGGATTAAGTGTTTTTTCTTTTAAAAAAACTTTGGTCAGAAGTTTTATACCTGGTGATCAAGTATAAATTATAAGTTGAACACAATGTAATAAACTCTAGTTTCAGTTGAGCTTAATTTGAGCTGTTTAGACTCTGGACTGTGTCACCAAAATATCCCAGACACATCTTCTATGACATTCTTATTTGTGTGTTATATTGCAAAGTCTTAACAAAGCATTTAACTGTTGTGTTTTGTTTTTTTTTTATTAACAGGTGACTTTTGATCCTGAAGTATTTTTCAACATTTTGCTTCCTCCAATTATATTTTATGCAGGCTACAGCTTGAAAAGGGTACGTGTCTTTGCAGCGCCTGTGTTTTTAGTTCCTCTGCCTCCAGAGCATTTTTAATACTTGAGAGTGCTTTAACGCCTGCTCAGCAGGCCAAGGCTGCGGAGCTGGGTACAGTTTTCCCCGTACACGCAGGGTTGTAGGAAGCCAGGCTGTGAGTGCTCTGGTTGGTCTCATCTGCCCCTTTGCCCCGGGAAGGGTCAGCGACTTCAACCATTTCCAGCATGAGTTTGCACGGGGGGTTTTGAGGTCAGCGAGGCCGTTTCAGCCGTCCTTACTTTCAAAACACATAGGAGGGTGGGAAGATTTTAAAAAGCAGCAGCTCTGAAATGCTGATTTGGAAGGAGAGGAAAATGATCCTGTTTAGCTTGCGAGAGAAGGAAGGAGGAATGCTGCAGGGTTAGGAAATCAGTTCCCAGGACCCAGAACAGCACCTTATTAAACGTATGGGTACAAAAAAATGATATATCCATGTTTATTAGTGCTACATTAGCATCTGCTGGTCTGGTGGTGTACACCGCTGTGCCGGGGACTGTTCAGCCGTGCTTGTTGATCGTATGGCATCTGAGCTAGGGTCAAGCTGCTGCGGACAATGTGTGCGTGCCTGTGCAGGCTTGAAATAAACGGTTAGCAAAATCTAATTAATTTTTTTTTTAAAAAATCTTCCTTCTAGAGGCACTTCTTCAGAAACTTGGGATCCATCCTAGCATATGCTTTTCTCGGCACTGCTATTTCCTGCCTGGTGATTGGGTGAGTGACTGGAGCTGGTCTGGTTCCTCTGTGGGAACTAATACTAATACTAATACTAATACCAATACCAATACCAATACCAATACCAATACCAATACTAATACAAATATTTAACTGTCCAAACTTTCGCTATGTGGACAAAGTTATCGCTCTCTAATTGCACAGTGCTTTTGCAGCATCCCATATAGAATATTTATATAGGTGGTGAGGAAAGTTTCACACTTTTCTGAAGATTGTCTTGAAAAAACAGGCAGTAACTTCAAGTTCTTGAAAGCACGGCCCTAACGAGCGTGAGACAGAAGAGTAGAGGGCAGGATCGTAAATGCATGTCCTGTCCTTACTTGCTGGAAGCAGGTGCCCAGCAAGCACAGATTGTATTTCAGATTATTTATCCCTGTGCGCGCAGGGAGCTGGATGATTCCCACTCTGAATAGTAACATGCAGACTGGTGCAGGGTGTTTTCCACTGAAGAGTCTGATAGATTCAAGCAAACTCAGCATCCACATTACCTGTTCCTCGCTGAAAGTTTTGGCCGTTTCAAGGTCATCTCACTGAAACGTGTTAATGTGAAATGCGAAGTGACTGTGAGACCCCACGAGCCTGGCTGCTGCTTCTCTTGAGTTGTGCTGTGCTCGTGGAGGAGTTCTGGTCCCGTTTCCTCACTGGTGCCCTGTTTACGGTCTGGTGTGGCAGGCACTATGGTTGCCCCAGCCTCAGCTTATCCAGTGCAGTTCTTCAGGATTCTGGTGTTTGGATAACTGTAGGGGTTAATGTGGCAAATTCAGGGGAATTGAGCCCATTTGACTGTCGGTTTCATTCACTGCAGAGATGAGTAATTGCCTCTTCTAATCACCAGCTCCGTTGTGTATGGCTGTGTGACGCTGATGAAAGCCACTGGGCAGCTCGGGGGAGATTTCTACTTCACTGACTGCCTCCTGTTCGGTGCCATCGTATCGGCTACGGACCCAGGTATGTTAGATGCTAATTGTTGCCCTCATTTTACCTATTTGATCTGTTCTGAGTTGTAGTAAAGGGGGAAGAAAGTCTGAATGCTGTGGAAGTTCTCTCTTTCAGAATCTTGGAGTTTACTTGCCACATTTCTAGAGGTCAGATTTCTCTCCATGCCTTTTTATTTCCTTCCAGTTACACGTAATATACCTTCCAAACCTCCGCTTTCCTAAACCTTTGTTTGTACTGAAGTGCTAGCAGTCTCTCTTTCGACTTTGCTGGGTTTTCGGACAGGTCCACTGTGTGTCTGCCATCCTGTGCCAATGGCTGAAGCAGAACAAGATGTGTAATGTGGGGAGGGTTCAGTTGATAGTTTTAGTTCATTTATCTGATTTCCTTCTGCTTCCATTTGGGTGGGAATTGGAAGGTGCTAATCTAATTGAAGGTTGATCTTAACAAGCAATACCAAGGACAGTAGTGACAGGTTAGTCTGCTAAAGCACTTTGTAAATCAAAACTGTGAAAAATGTGCCCTGTCCAACTGAATTTCACTTTGTTCACAATCACTTTTACATGGGAGCTGTTTATTTGCATGTTCCAGCTTCCCCTAAAAGCACAGGACCACAAAAAAGCCTCTCCTCTCTCCTGCCCTTTGCTGAACAGGGCTTGAATTTCTTCCCTTGCAGCCTGGCTTCTGCGTTTCAGACCAGCCTGGTGGGGCTGGGGGTGGCCATGTCTCCCTCTCAATGTTACAGTAGCTTTGGCAGATCTTTTTAAGTGCAGATATTGGTCAGTTTTGCATGGAAGGGAGAGATTGCATGCCTGAACAAGCCAAATCCTCTGCCTTTTTGAAATGAGTGCCAGTGGCTTTTGTTTCCAGATGAATTGGGACCTTTACCGGTTCATCTTAAAAATGAGTCATTTCTGTTTTCAAAGGCAAAATGAGGAACCTTGTATGTATATACATATATGCAAGAATAACGCTGCAGAATATAACCTGCAGCGTAACATGGCAGTAGCTACATCTATCTGCCAGGTGGAGATGTGAGATGTGCATTCCCCATGAGTCTTTGATACTTTATTTTTGATGTTTCAGTAAGATTTGCCACATTGTGGTGTGGTTATTACTGCTGATACTTTTATTTAAGAAAAAAAAGGTGGTAAAATGATTTCCCAGCTTCTCTGTATGTGTCTTGGGTGGGCATGTGTTCAGGCCACCAGCTCCTTTAGCAAGGAGCTGTTCCCATGTGGTTGCGAGGTCGAGCATCCTCCCCATATCTTAGCCGGGGTGTCGGCATCGAGAGGGGGGCACGTTTGCAAAACAGGGAGCCCCTCACAGATGTTATGGCGGTGTGGTAGATCTGGTGGCAGATGGGCAGAGGCCAGGCAAGGACCACAGGTGGAAGTAACGCTTAGCAATGCTGCGGGTGAGCTGTTGGTGTCGTGTCAGTTCTTCAGGCTTCGAAATAGGAACAAGAAGATTCACAGGTAAAAAATGGAGCATCTCCCTGTGCATAAATGGGTTAAACCCCTTTCACTGTGCACAGATGAGTCCCTGGATGCTGTTTTAAAGGACTTTCGCAAAAGCTGATTGGAATTAGCTCAGTCCTCTGCAGCAGCCGGAGCTGTGCAGGATGCACCATCTTGCTTGCTTTAGCTGTTGTGATGTTTTTGCAAGCCTGATATGCAAAACCTGCTGCGTTTTCATTATCTTCCAGGAGCCACTGGATCATGGAAGGGCTGGAGGGTGTTCCGATCTCTGCCCTGTGGCCATAAATCACAAGAAACCCCCACATGGGGTTTGAGCTGGTGCCTGGATTTTTCCAGTTATGTCTAAGGCGTTAACACATCTGCGCTGGCACTTCCAGTGTGTCAACCTGTGTTAAATCTGAGGATTTCTCTCAGCATATCAGGGCTGGAAGGAAAAGACAACCATTGTCCTGGACAAGCCTGCATCTTCCTGGCCTTCTGCAGGTGGAGGAAGACTCTCCCCGATTCTCTGAGCTAACAGCATCCCAAAAGCTGGGTGGTCCAGCCCATGAGCTCAGACCCTCAGGAAGCTCAGAGCAGAGTCTGCTCGTGTCTCCCTGCTAAAGACTCAATAGACCTAATGCCCAGGATGTGTTTTAGTAAACGGAGGAGAAGGCAAATGATAAAGCAACCCCAAATGTGAAAGGGCAGGGCTGTCAAAGGGAGCACAGGGGGCGGCTGGCACCATCGCAGCAGCATGGCACAGACATGCAGGAAGGCAGCTTTCTAAAAAGGGATGTTTTGTCTTTGATTACACAAAATAATGGCACCTTTTTGAATGTCTCTCTATTTTTCTATTTGTCAGTGACTGTTCTTGCCATATTCCATGAGCTCCAGGTTGATGTTGAGCTGTATGCCCTCCTCTTTGGTGAAAGCGTCCTCAATGATGCCGTTGCCATAGTGCTGTCTTCGTAAGTGTGTTCTGTTTTTATTTTTAATTGTTATGTATGTTACATGTCAGGTTTTGGGGGGAGCCTCTTGGCCTTGCTCCTGTAAAATAAGAGCATTGGTGTTTGCAAAAGCAGATTTCCATAGTAAGTGTCCCCAAAAGCTGCAGTGGCCTTCTGATGCATCTCCTCATTGCAGACCACAGCTTAGGATTGCGGGTTGTCCTTACAACTTCCCTCTGCATGATGGAGAGTTTTGTTTTGCTTTTATAGCCAGTTGACCCAACCAGATGTGTCTGCTTTTCAGCCACAGGATTCCACTGAAGCCCCTTGCTGATGGCTTTACTCCTGCCTGTCCTCCTTCCCATCCACAAATACCTGCTTTTGTTTAGGTGGAAGTAGTTGGTAAAGCAGCTGTTTCCTTTCTCTCCCCACTTCCTGTGCATCAAGAAGTTGGGATTTGTTACAGCTGGAGTTAATACCCTGGACTGAACACATGGGAAACTTGCTGGCTTTCTAAATAATGTTTTATACTCTAATATATTATGTCCTCTGCATGTAGGACATGTTTTATCTCCATTTTCACTGTATTGCCATCACAGGAATTTGTTTAGAAATACATAATATCCGCAATGGTGACAGGTTAACATATAGCTAAGACTAATGCAGAAAATATTTCTGGAATACTTGTCACTCCAGCGTGCTGGTTGCGTGGGTTTCCCTGAGGTGGAGGCAGCAAGGAGCATATTGTGAGCTGCGTATCACCACCCGCATGGGTTGTGTTTACTGAATTGAATGCTTCTGTTGAGGTTTCTGGAGCTGTTTGTATTGCTCGCTCTGGATGTGTCACTGCTGGTGCGAGGGTAAATGCTGCACAGCCAGGCTATGTTTAAGAAGTGATCCCGAGTGGGGAGGAGATGAGGGTCTTCCAGCCTCTGCTGGGAGGCTCTGGGTGGGAGCGGATGGGTTCAGCATCAGTGTGATGATTTGTGGTGGATCTCCGCACACGCAGATGGCTGTGCTGTGTGCAGTGATTTGCCTCTTGCACTGTTTCAGTAGCAGCTTCATAGCTCTGATTTCCTGCCTTCCTCTTTCCACGAGCTGAATTCAATCCACCCCCCGTCCCTGAAATAAGATAATTTGCACCAAAGCAGCAACTCCAGGCTGCAGTCAGCAGTTATTTTGCCACAAGGCTTTTGTGCAGCCTGGCCCAGTGGCATGCTAGCTTCTCAGGGGTTTCTCAGCAGTTAACCCGTACCCGTTTTAAAGCTTGCTGTGGTCATAGTCTTCACGGTCACCACCAGCAGCGCGAGGTGGCCTCGGCCAGCACGGTAGCTATGGGTTGGTGCAGGTATCTCAAGGACACAACCACATCTTGGGTGCAAGGAGGAGATGAAGGCCTCTTGCTCCAGGGAGGAGAGCTCCTCTGAGAACAGTCCAGAGCTCCTATTTAGGGTTCCCCTTTTTTAAATTTAGTGTGGCAGTTGCCTGTTTCATAGCAGAGGCATAAGTAGGGGAACCATGGGGGATTGGTTCTGCTCCTGCAAGCAGGAGACCTGCTCCCCAGTTAGGAGATGCAGGGGTGAGCTGGGAAGGTGAGGAATCGAGTGGTTTCTGGATGGATGGGCTGTGGTGATGGAGGAGCTGCCACCTGGGTGACAGCAGGTGGTGGGTCCCACCTCGTCCTGGGGGGAGCTCCAGCCATGGCTGGCTGAGCAGTGATTGCCCTGAGAAGCACTGTCAGCTCCTCGCATGTGGTGAAAGTGGCCACTGTGGGCACTGTCCTCACGCTGGGGCAGGATGAGGAGCTGGGACTCCTCTGCAGCTTCTGCTGGGAGCTCGGTGCCTGCAAGGCTCCTCTTCTCCCTTCTTTCCATCCCGGATAAATGTCTGCTCCTGTGCTGGGGGAGCGGCATCTGTGCCGCGTTGCTCCTGCCTCTGCAGCAGGGAACTGGTTGCAGTATGAAGAGGAATTGAACCCAGAACCAAAAGTGGGTGGGAAGCAGGGTCCTGGGGCTGCTGTTCAGGAGCAGGGGGGTAAGTGGAGCTGCAGGGTCCCTGCCTGCTTCTTCCAAAGGGAGGTTTCACAGGGGCTAAATGCCACGGGGGCGGGGGAAATAATGCACACAGAGGGCAGCTGGCAATAATGTCTTGTTAGGCATGCAAAAAGCAAAACCAGAAGGAAAACTGTAGTGGGTTAAAACACAAAACCGACATCCAAACAGTTGGTTACGGAGGGAAACGAAACCAGTCTGGGTTTAAAAAACCCCCAAGCCGCAGAATAAGAGCATGTTGGTGAATGGGAAGTAGAGGGTGGGGTTGATGAAAGAAATTAAATCAAAAGGAGAAATCTGCGGCTTGCAGTGTAAAAGGCAATGCAGAAAAGTGAAATGTATTACAAGCAGGGCAGTTTAGCAAGGGAAGTGACCCGTGACGTGTTGGAAAGGGAAGGATTGTCATTTATGTTGCATAAAAATGTTGGTGTGTAGGTAGAGGAGAAAGCTGCAGGGTGTGAATGCGAGGCAGTAACTTTTCATTCCAACATAACTTGGGAGGTTAAACAGCAACTATTTAAAGTTCACATCCAAGAATTTTAACAGAGCCAGCCGAGGGATTGCTAACTGATGTTTTTGGTAAGTTTACATGGAAGAAAGCTAATATGGAGTTGATATGAAAATGGGATTTAGGAGATGGATAGAGGACCCCTGTATCTCAGCCTTTCCAAGTAAAACAGTGAAGCGTCTGATGCACGGCTCAGGAGCTGGGAGGGAGCAGACTCAGAGGTGGGAGCAGTGGCAGACTGATTTGCCATCTCATCACAAAGATCTGTTGGAGTTTGGTGGATGAAGAAGCAGCGTTGCTGCTGCGAACCGGCACTGTGCCTTTTGCCTTGCTGCCCTCTGGTATTTCACTTCAGAACGCAGAGCAGCGCAAATCAATGTAGGGCATGTTAACTGCGGTAAAACAGCGTAATTTACAGTTCTCCAGGGGATATTCACATCAGCCGCCTCGGTGGAGTCGACGGAGAAATGTAGGCTTCTCAATTCAATGCTTGTGGTCCCAGCTTGCCTGACTTTATAGAGAGCTAATGCCAAACCCCCCAAAATACCATCGTTAATGATGGACTGTCGCCTCACCAATGCGTTTGCAGGAGGTCATGCAAGAGATGAGCTTTGATCTGATGCTCTCTAATGTCTAGAAGGAGCAAATGCCGAGCCTTGCCTAGGAGGTGTGGCTGAACAGCAGAAAGCTGGCCAGGAGCAAAGGGGATCCCCAACTCCCCGGGGCAGGGTGGGCACACTGCTGCAGTGTGGGGCTGGCGTTTTGTCTCCCTGATTTCTTGGGCTCCGTGTTTGCTGCGGTCGTAACTTCGCAAAGCTTGCGTAGCGCCGTGGAGGCACCTCTCCCTCCTCACTAAGGAGGAGCATTTTGTTCTTGTGTGTGCTTTTCCTCCCTCTTGCAGTTCAATCGTCGCGTACCAGCCGGCGGGTGACAACAGCCACACGTTTGATGTCACAGCGATGTTCAAGTCCATCGGGATCTTCCTGGGGATATTCAGTGGATCTTTTGCAATGGGAGCAGCTACGGGAGTTGTGACAGCTTTAATATCCTTCTCGTTGGTTTTTTTCAAGTGTTTACACAACAACTTCTTTTTTGTCTACACTGCTTTTCACCCAGACCCAAGTGTGTCACGATTTTTTTGCCTGCCTTAATGAAAAGCAATGCCATAGCCTTTTTAAGGGCAGGCTATGTAGTGATACACAACAGGATTTGATATCCTCTTAGCCTGCAGTTTCTCTCCAAATTTCCTTAACCATCTGCAACGTCACCAAGTTCACCAAACTTCGAGAGTTCCCGTTGCTGGAGACCGGCTTGTTCTTCCTGATGTCCTGGAGCACGTTCCTGCTGGCCGAAGCGTGTGGCTTTACAGGCAAGCTCCAGCACAGCCCCGTGTCTGGGATGGAGATCTGCAGGGATGATGGGCCTGCCGAGTTTTGCTTCTCCCAGTATCGACTGCAGCCAGGGCTCTCCCTCTGCTTTCGGATGTTTAATGATTCTGGGTTCTGGGGTTATTGCATTAAGTCCTCTACACTACTGGGGTGCAGCTCAGCTCCCTTTTCATGACCAGAAGTCTGACGGGATCCTCTTCTCCTCAGGTGTGGTGGCTGTACTCTTCTGCGGGATCACGCAGGCCCATTATACCTACAACAACTTATCTACAGAGTCCCAACACAGAACTAAGCAGGTGAGAGCTCCTCAGCCCCCTTCAGTCTCCCTGAATTTCAAGTTCAGTATTTTTTCCTTCCTTCTAACCAGAATTAAGTGCATCTGTCTTTCTACAGATGGGTTTTAGTGGTGTTGCTTCTGCAGAAGTATTTTTGCGTGATGGATGAGCTAACATGTTTTTCATGTTAAATCTGTGTTATGTCTAACTCGCTGGTAATTTGTTTTTCAGTTGTTCGAGCTTCTGAATTTCTTGGCAGAAAACTTCATCTTCTCCTACATGGGCCTTGCGCTGTTCACTTTCCAGAACCACGTCTTTAACCCTACCTTTGTGGTGGGGGCTTTTGTATCCTTTGGAGCCCATTTTTTAAGACAAAAAAAAGAAAAGGAGAGGTGCCTTTTTCCCAATTTCATTCAGATGTGTGGGGTTTTTTTCAGTCAGTCTAGTTTTAATTTTAAAAGGGGATTTCTCTCATGTAGTGCTGTCTTAGCTGGTTATTTTAAGAAGATGGAGATTCTTTTCCCAGCATTTCTGTTTGCCTTCCCCCCTCCCCACCCCGTCTTGTCTCCTTTTTGTGGGCATTTGAATTAGCTGTTGCAGGGACTCAGCATTAGATGAGCAAAGATGAGCAGAGTGAGCAAAGTGCTGAAGTGCCAGGCTTGGTGGTGTGGCACCAGGAGTGGCTTTGCAAATGGAAACCACCTGACCTCTGCTATTCCATTTGGTTGGCCCTGAAAAAAGGGGTTTTTTCAGTCAAATAGCAAATTTAAATCTACAGTAGATGCCTCTGAATGATGTCATGAGAAAGGATTTCCCCTTGTGCAGGCTGATGCTGATGGAAACAAGCTATCAGCCCTGCTATATCTCATAAAACCCAGCATTTTAAAGGAACTTATTTAATTTTCCAGGGAAGCAAGTTCAGATGTGCAGGATTGTTTCCACCCTTTGCCTGCGCTGGAGCAGTTTGATACTGATAAATATAACGTTGTTATCTTTGCCAATGCTGGCGTGTGGGTTCGTAGCAGTGTCTGCTGAATTTCAAAAAAAATACTCAGTTTGAGCTCTTGCGGGGTGGCAGTGGGGTAAAGGGAACAAAGTGCAGGGAAATGCCGTTTGGGTGGTGAGACTGAAATTTTGTGCTGTGCCTCTGGTAGGAACCGGCTAACTTACGAAATAACTCATTCATGAGAGAGATCATGAAATACGTCTCTTATGCAAATTCCTGATGTTCAGGAAAGAACATAAAAGCTGGAAGCATTTTCCATATTATTCGAAGCTGTGCTGAATACTGGCTCCAAGATTATTTTTGCCATCTGGGTGCTGGTATTAAAAGACACAGCTTCAAAGATAAAAGCAATATGAAAGGGCTGATGATTCTTGTATCTCGCAGGCTATGAAAACAGAAAGAGTATTAGAGGGGTTTTTTTTTTTTTCCTTCTCAACTGTGGCTGCTTTCATTTTGCTGAATAATCTTTGGGAATGGGACTTGGCTTAAAGCTTCAAACCCAGCTGTGAAGTGTGGCACGCCAGGGAATGTCAGAGGGGTTGTGGCAGCTGTGATAGATAACTTGAGCTTCGCAGAGGACAAATAATTCTTGGGGTGGAAGATGGGCCCGGCAGGGGAGAGCACACAGTAGGAAATGGTGGTTTTTCTCTCCTCTCACCCATCTAATCTGCCCTCTCATCATTTTCCTTGTTTATTTGTGCTTGTATCTGTATGATATTCCTGAATTGCAATGTGTGCTTTGCCCTGGTGAGGCAGTAGCATGCTCTTCCCCCAGTGCTGTAGCATTCAGAACTGGGTTATTATCTTTGCATCTAGAGGACCAGCATTGCTGAGGCTACCCAGTGTTTCCATCAGGCAGCAGAAATCCACTCTGTGTGCAGAGGTGGGATGCGATGGGAGACATAGAAAGAGCAATTTCCTTAATGTGTGCAATACAGCTTGCTATCTTCCTAGGAAGAGGTGCCAACATTTACCCACTGTCATTTTTACTGAATTTGGGGAGAAGAAATAAGATTGGAACAAATTTACAGCATATGATGATGTTTGCTGGTATGTTATCGCAACCTTGCCTCCGACCTACACTTCCTCGCCCCCGAGTGCCTGGAAGTATTCCTTATTCAACTCTAAATCTCTTACGGGCAGTGTCTGGAGAAGAGGGTGGGCAGGAAAAGGCTCCTGTAGGCTCAGTGGTGTGAAAGCCTTGGTTTTGAGATATGGGAATGAGCTTCTCCTGCCCTGCCCTTGAGCACTTGGGGTGAGGCAGGAGCAGGGTTTGCCTTTCTTTTTTGGTGGTAACCCCAGCTTTCGCAGTGTACGCTGTGAAATCATCACTGTTAAAGCACTGTGGTCCCATCCAGCGGTGGACGTCCCATCAGAGAGGCAGCATCGCACGTGGGGCGGCGTGGTGTAAATCCCAGGTGGGGAAGCCTGTGGTGGGGGCGACTGCCGGTGCTGTGGGCTAACGCAGCTCCTTTACTGGCCCTTCCCGGCAGGGCTGCGAGGAGCCATGGCATTCGCCTTGGCCATCCGCGACACGGCCACCTACGCCCGGCAGATGATGTTCAGCACGACGCCCCCCACGGTGTGGGTTTTCGGCGGGGGCACCACAGCCATGCTGTCCTGCCTGAATATCCGGTGAGTGCAGCGTGCGTGGGGCTCTCCCAGCACGGCACATCTTCTTCCTCCTCCCACTCTTACATTAAGGTGCTTGTTTTTAAGAGACAAGAGGAAGATCACATCCTTCCCCCTACCCCACAGCATTGCTCATCCTGACCCTGTGCTTGTTTTCTCCTCCACAGGGTCGGTGTGGATGCGGATCAGGAGACTGTGGTGAGTGTGGCGCTGCCAGGCGGGCTCTGTAGAGGAATTTGCACTGTGCTCATTGGTGCAGAGGTTACATTGAGACTCTGTGAATGCCCATCTGTGCTCCGCTCCCTTCCAGTTGTAGGGAGTTTTTAGCTCCTCTGGTGAAAGGGTTTGCAGTCAGTGGGAGTCATAGCTTTTCTGTGTTCTCTGTGGTTATAATAAGGCTTCCTTTTATTCAGTTTGAAAGAAGGGCATAGAAGTAATGCTGGACTGTTTAGTCAGTCCACGTTACTGCTGCAGTAGGTTCAGCCTCTTCCTTGCTGGGTCTGAAATAAATATCAAAATGTGCATGACACGGAGGCTTTCTGCCTCATCCCAGCATCCAAGGCAGCACAAAAATGCCATTTTCTGGCCCATTTTATGTAGCATCTCCCACCCCACTTTTACCCACAACCTCTCTTTTTGACCCCAGTTCCCTGTGGGTCGTTATGCAGCAGCCCAGAGACCACCGGCCACCCTGAGATAAGTGCTGGAGCCCTGTGGAGCTGGGAGTTTTCCTGCCCGGGAGCCCCGAGCTGTCTCGTGCATCTGCAGCCCGCTCGTGCTGTGGCTGAGGCTCTGATTGATTTCAGCGTGACTTCTACTTGGAGCTTCATTTTATTCAGAGCCATTTATTGGGCTGTTCACCTCATGGAGAGAAAGTGTCAGATGCTAAAGGCATAAATCTGAAAGTCAAATTTCTGTGAAATATGTAATTGTATTCATAGTCCCCTCCAAACAGTTTTATACTTTTTTCTCTGACTAAAAGGAAGCAAGAAGTCCCCATAACATATTTATTTGCATACAAAAATCTTGGATGAGATTTGATGGAGGTCAGACCTGTTGGTTGCTATTAAATGTCATGTCTGGATGCCATCACTGGCTCCGAGGCACTTTAAACCTTTAGGCCTGAAACTGGGAGGCTTTAGCAGAAAAATGGTCACTCTGTGCTTTGATATCGCCTCCCTAAGGCTGTTGCATGCTGCTAAATGCACAGTACGGTGCTGGAAGCACCATTGTGGTGTGAACATCCTTACAATTGCTGCAACCCAAAGGTTTCTTCTGAAGACGCAGTGAAAAGGTGTATGTCTTCTTTGTCCCCGTGGAGATAGCCTGGTGTCCTGGGGGGTGCTCCTGGCCCTGATGAAGGTCTTGGCGTGTTGCCCTGCTTCTGTTTAATGTGTTGCTCTCCCATAGGGCATTCCGGAAAGCGAGAGGAGGAGTACGAAGGCAGAAAGCGCCTGGCTCTTCCGTATGTGGTACAACTTCGATCACAAGTATCCTTGAATGGTGCTTGGCACATACCGTGTCAAATCCTGTCTGCCTGCACAGCTCCATTGGCTCAGAGCATGACTCGCTCCCCCCTTAGCAGAGGAGCCAGTGTTTGCTTTCCCATCTCGCTGCTGGTTTTTGACACTTCCTCATGTCTGTGGCTGCAAGAAACTACCATTTCCAGCCGATGTCAGTGGGCACACAGCAGTAGCTCAGTTCAAAGCTGAGCTCTCCAAGGCTGGAAGCCCAGGAGGTCCCCGGTCCCAGTGGCAGGTGGTCAGGTAGCAGGGGCTCTTCTCATTTGTAACCCTTCTTGCTAGATCCGTGCCACTCCTCCCTTGCCATCGCTTTGCCATGAATTAGCAGAGGAGCACTTTGCCAGGAGAGGCACAGGATGATGGGATGGGTGATGCTGCTAATAAGCCTTTTCTTACGGGGACTGTGTCCTGGTATGCTCATGTCCTGCTGTGTTTGGTTGCATTCATGTTGCTCATCTTTATGTATTTTGTGCTTCCAGGGACTTGTGTTTCTCTCTTTTCTGTGATTTCCTCAAGACGGAGTCCTTCTCCACTGCCTCTGCATCCCACCCCTTGACTTACCAACACAGCCCTAGTCCTCTTTCTTCCTTAACCCTTTCTGTAGCTATCTAAAGCCTCTGCTGACACACAGTGGTCCTCCTCTGACGACCACGCTCCCGGGGTGCTGTGGGCCTATTGCTCGGTGCCTGACAAGTCCGCAGGCGTACGAGGTGAGTCCATCGGTGTCCTTTCTGTTGTTGTGTCAGTGGCGTTTTACACGTTTATGTTTCTGCACAGTTTTTGGATGCTGCTCTGCAGCATTGAGCTGGGACCCTGGGTGGTCAGATACTGGGACTGGTGGATGAGCTAATTCCCGTGAGCATTTTGCTTTTCCAGCTGACTGTTTGGTCATGAAGGGACTCGTGATGTCTTTGTGGTGGTTCCTCAGTGACTGCCTCAGTGAGGCTGTCACAGGGAAGCTGTCACGAGTGTCCTTCCCCAGCCCCTGCTGGGAGGACACAGTTTCCCCATCCCCTCCTTTCTTGCAGCCTTGCAGCTGAGCTGTATATGCAGCTGCATCACTCGCAGCTGGAAAGGTTGCCAGCATCTGAATCAGGGCTGATTTTCTCCTGAAATGGTAAAGAGCCCTTGTTTGAGCAGCCCAGAGAGGCAAGGAGATGACAAGCAGCTTTGATAAGCAGTGACATCTTCCACTAGCGCTGCAGAGCCTGTGTGTATCTGTGCTCTTCGAGGAGCTGGGTTTCCTGGTCAGGTTTGGCCTCTCATGGTCTGCGGGTGACCAGTGCCAGCACAGCTCTCCAGCAGGGCCACAGCACTTGGAGCATTGCCATACCAGCAGCCCCTCTGTGGCAGGACTTTTCTTGCCCTCCCTGCAAAGCATCAGTGTCAAGTGCCCTGCAGAAAACAGAGATGGCTCTGATGGGTCAGCAATGCGATTCCTGTCGTCACGGGTATTTTAGTCCGATCAAAGCCACTCAGAACTGCTTTTCCTGTGTATCTGGCTGTGGCATCAGAAAAAAGAGCCAAGAGAGCCCTTTCAGGCAGTCTGCAGAGAAGTCAGTGTCTTGTGCAAGTCGGCTGGGCTGAGATGTGTGTGGTTATGGTCATGGTGCAGGAGAGCCTGTGGTTTGGTGCCTCTACCTGCTTGTTCAACACCACCGTGCAATTTCAAACATAGCTATTCAGGAAGAGTCAAACAGCATTTTCCTCCTGTTTGTTGCCCAGAATCAAGAGCAGCTGAAGGACGATGACTCTGACCTCATTTTGAACGACGGGGACATCAGTCTGACCTACGGGGATTCCACCGTCAACACCGACTCTGTCGCGTCCAGCGGCACATCGCGGCGGTTCGTGGGAAACAGCTCTGAAGATGCGCTCGATCGGGAGCTTGCTTTTGGGGACCACGAACTCGTGATCCGGGGAACGCGCCTGGTCCTTCCCATGGACGATTCGGAGCCACCGTCAAACATCCTGGATAACGCAAGACATGGTCCGGCATAAGGTTGCTCGGTTTAATTGACAGTAATATTTGCATATATGGTCAAGAAATATGTACTACCTAAAGTCTAATGCATGTCTCAAAATGTCTAAGCTGTATAAATATTATTTATATGGTGTCAGAAGAATATAAATATTCTCTGCCAAGCACTTGTAAAAGAACAAGCTGCAGATTTAAGTTTAAAACCGTGTTGACTGCACTGTGTAGGGTGGAACTGTTTTAGCGTAAGAGTCTTTTGCACACAGTGAGCTGCTTTAATGTGTGATTTGACGAAGGCTTTAGTTCCCAGCAGGGTGAGTAAAGGAGCTGACTCCCTGTTCATCCTTTGGACCTGGGAGAGGGGGGTAGGGAGGTGCTGGCGAACAGTGGAAATCACTTTCTATTCAGATGAGGATTGGGTTTTTTTTTTCCTGATCTTTGGATAGTCACCTTTGAAATATCAGCAAGAAATCAGCCCACAGACCCTCTTGCCGGGCAGCGGCCAGTGGTAAAACTTGTTCGCTTTGTGGGAACCTGAGCTAGGACCTGGAGACTTTCTGCTTTGTGGTGGCCCTCAGCCCAAGCCCTGTTGCTGAGAGCAGGGACAGCGGGTGTCCAGCTGCTCGGATGGGAGCAGGAGGGAGGGACGGTTGTGTCTGTAGTCATGTTTGGGGGAAGGAGGTGATCCCACAGAAGCTACACCAGGTGTGCACAGATTTTAGGGCTGAGCCCATCTTTCAGGTGTGGCTCGAGCAGCTTTCTAGAACCAGCCATCAAATCCTCAATTGGCAACCAAATTTCAGGTTTGGAAAGCGCCCGTGTCATTGCACGAGCAAGTCTCTTCCCTGCGGTTACGGATGTGGCCGAGATGTGCAGAGCTCCCGCAGCTGCACACCTCGAACACAAGCTTTACAGCTACAGATCGACACAGGACCTCGCCAGAGGTGTTGAGCATTTGGGTGGTACTGAAGGGGAGTTGTCCATCCGTCCTCCTGTATAGTCAAAAATCATTGCACTTTGTTTAATGACTCCTTAGCATGCTGTGTGTCTGTAATCCCCACCCGTCCTTTCTCGTCTTTCTTACCATTTAATGAGAAATGTTTGCGAGTTGATGATTTTTTAAAAATTTTTATTTTCCAAGGAAGAGCACAGAACAATTTGTGATTTCACACTAGTGTTAAAGGATTTACTCTGTAGTTATGGGAATGGTTAAAGGTGCAGTGAAACTGTTAACTCTGACATCCTTTGTGTTCTCCTGAAAAGGAGGAATCACAGAAATTTACTGTATGTCATTTTATTGTCTGTTTTAGCTGTGGTTTTGCTAGACAACCCTTTCAGGGTTACTGGTGAACAACAGGCCTGTTCTGGAGTTAACCTTCTCCAGAGGCCTTAAACAGAGGTGTTTAAAAAGAGAATATATGAAAAAGAGCCGGGTGAGTCTGAGCTCTCTCAGCTCCCGTGAGCTTTCCTTGGAACAAACCCTGCACCTCTCAGGACCCAACCCAGAGACCTCAGAGCAGTTTCCCCATGGCTGTTTTCCCCAGCACCACCTGAGAGTTGGAGGAGCCAGGGAAATACTGAAATCTGGAGTGTATAAGCATAGTTGTGAAAATAAATTTCAACTTTTTTTTTCTTTTCATTTTCTCAGGTCTAAGTAACATTGCCTTAAATTTACGGATGTGAAACTAATTATTTTGGCAGTTTATCCCCAAGAAAATGCTTTGTTTTTCCTTCTGAATGAAATGTATAAGTGTTGCCATAGGACTCCTCTGGAAGGGGGGTAACGCTCTGTTTATATTGAGATAGGGCATCTTCCTTGCACCGAATGGCAGTCTCGCTGTTAATGTAGCTGTTGGATTAGCGCTAGCCTCTTTGTTTCCTGCTATGCAGGAATTCCATAAAGTGTGCATTTTATATGATGTCTGTAATTTAACTTCATGTGTTTAAAAAAAAAAAAAAAGGAAAAAAAAAGGAGGTATCCGTTGACTTTAGGTTTACTGCATCACTTCTACATCCTGTTTTTCATTTGTTTTGCCTTTTTGAAGAGGTATGATAAATAACTACCTCTTGTTTTTTCCTGTGTAATCTATGAATTCAATTTACAAAGCTGGTGCCGGTGCAGTCGCAGGTGCAGAATGGTTCTGCCTCCCCCGAAAGCCCATGGTCCCATCGCCCAGCCCCATAAGGGCAGTGCAGGGCTCCCTCCCAGGCAGCCCCCAGCTGAGGTGTCAGTGCGCAGCCAAGCGCTGCGAGTAATAGTTTCCCCCCGCCGTGGTAGCGTTCCTCTCTTTCTCTGACCCTCCGACGTCAGTAATTTATCCACTGTCTTTACACTTGCTAACACCTTGCCATAAGCCCCAGCTTTTGGCACCAGTGACAGTCCAGGTAGTGCATTAAAGAGAAGAAAACAAGTTAACAATTGATGATTTTTTTGGTTACCTGTGAACTCTTACGATCAATACATGATACAACCAGGACTGTTTTGAATAGTTTTGGTAAATGAATGAATCTAAGCTGAAATTTAGGAGTGATTTAATCAATGACTCAAATTCATCCTCAGCCGATTATTTTCCTTGTCCTGCTGTAGCAGAAAGTACACGAATGCCTGGTTTTCCAGTGCAGACCCTGATGCAGATGCAGTCCAGGGTACCTTGGAGAGTCTGGCCCCGAGACTTTTTGCCAAATGCGTCAGACAGCCCCGAGGAGGCAGTTTACAGCTCACACAAGGATTTAGAGAAGGTCCCCTTCTTCTGTAAATTGAATTTTCTTCATTTTTGCACCTGAAAAAGCATTGTAGGTAAAGTTATGATTTGTACTAGTACTGTTGATTTGTGTGGTAATGGCATTAACTCCGTAGTCGTGGTGTTTGTGCAGCTGATCTGTGATAGCTGATGATCACTATTGGACCTTCTGTTTACACTGACTAAATCCTTTACTGTTGCGTTGTACTGTGAAGGAAGGATTATGGGCCTATAAAAGATTTTTTTTTCTGGAATTCTGTGTACCGTTTCATTAATTCACACGGAAATAAATCTGTAGCAAATCGATGACATGCCGCATGACCTTCTCAGACCAGTTTGTTCACGGCCTTTGGCCAATGGATGCCGGGGATGCAGATGCTGAACCTCGCAGGCTGGAGGGCAGCAGGGCTGGGGAGTGCGCTCCTGCCTTCGCCCCCGCTCCCAGGACACAGCCCAGTCCTGGGGCCACCCTCCCCTGCAGGACCAGGCGCTGGGGAGTGGAGTGACGCTTATATCAGCTAGAAGCTGCTGCAGCTCCTGGACTCCCCTGCAAGCAGCAAAAACTGGGGGCATCACTGCAGCGTGTTTGCAAAATCAAGGCTCCCCAGCTTTCCTGGGCTTTTACGGCCTCCTTTTTTTGTTGAATTTGCAGTTGGGCTTGTGGCAGCTGCTCTGCCATGCCTTGGAGGCCATTCTGCCCTCCATCACCCGTCTGTACCCTTTTTTTGATGCTATGTGCTGTTGGAGCAGCTGAAGAGGTTTGTTGTTCAAATGCTTTACAATCCTCCAACAGAGAGGGCGTCTCGGAAACTTCAGGAATCTGGTTTTGAGAGTTTTGATTCACAAAGGACAACCTTCACCTCTCAAATGGTATAAAGACCCATTCTTCATAGAATTCTTCCGTATTGCTGCGGGAGGATAGCCCCTGAAGCCTGGTTAAACACACGTGCCTCCCATCCATTGCAGCGGCCAAGGGGACATCTGCTCTGCTTTCCCAAGGGATGGTGGTCCTTGCCTGGGGCTTTGCCCTAGCAGTGACTGTAGCTCACAAAGTGCCATGGGTCTGCCAGCAAGGGGCTCATCCAGCGTCATGGGTGGCCTGTGCTACTGGAAGTCACAGGAGCAGGACAGGAGACAACCGTGTTTAATTGCTTACATGAAATGATGCTAGTTCTACCATGCACTTTCACATCTCAAAATCCTGACAGAATAAACACTGCTAGTCCTGCTGTACGCACGCCGTCCAGCCCAGGCTTGGGTTGTACTCGGGCACATAACTAAAACAAACAAGGACGTCATTTAGCAATTGAACAAATTCCTTTTGGCAGCTCCTTACCCTCTCAAACCCTCAAAAAGAAGTGCAGCACACTCCTTAGAAATTGTTTTGTTGCAATAAGGTATGATTCAGGCCTTTGGGCTCCTCGTTGGTGAGCGCTTATCTCCAGTGTTCAAAATGTAGCTGGGACGAGCCAGAGTGCATCCTCCCTCCCCAGTGCATGCAGCGGCAGACAGGCATCCTCTGGGCTGTGCTCACTGTGCCATCACCTGGGCTGTGGTTTCAGCCACACAAAAAGATTTTGGATAGGCGCTGTTCAGTGGCACTGGAAGAAGGGACAAGGGGGATCCCAGCATAGTCTGGGTAGGGGAACTGGTGCTGCAAGTGGGTGCATAGAGCCACCACTCGCTGAATAGTCCCCGTTTTATTAGTTCAGTTTGATTTGAGCTCATTAGGGGTAGCTTTCAGTCAAGCTATTGACCCAACGTTCACGTGAGGCTCAGTGAAGCACTGGGAAGCCAATGCCAGGTATCTACAGCCTTAAACAATGACAGGGCTGTTTCTAGAGCCATCTTGTGTTCTCGTGCCCAGGGCACAGAGGGTCCTGTGCGCTTGGCTCTCCATCTCCATGTCATGCTGGGGAGAGCCTTTATGTGAGGTACAACTGAAAACAAAACAATAAAAAACCCACAAGCTTTTGATTCTTCTTCCTTATCTCATCGTGGCCTGCAAGGAGCTCTTGTCCTTGCCAGGCCCTCTAGATGGCAATATTGGAAAGGACAGCAATTGTCCATCCCTGCCGTGTCCCTGCAGCTCCAGGTGCTTTTCCTCCCAGGCTCTCCAGCTCTCACAGGCAGGACATCACCTGGACTTTAAGCCCTTCCTAGCACTAGAAGTTGCTGTCATCTGCAGCCAAGCTGTGGTCATCGTGGCACTGCTGCAAGAGGACTTCTCTCTCTGCTTGGCTCCTGCTTGTCACTGCCCCAAAACAGTGTTTGTCACCAGATGTGGAGAGTATTCTGGAGGAAATATCCTGGCGAGATTAAGAGAGGAGGAGGGGTGGAAACACCCCTCTGATGCTAGTGGGCCCAAATATATTCTTACAATACTAAATACTAATTTGGCCACATGTGTCTGTGATTGGAGAATAATTGGAAGATGAGGCAAGTAGAAGGGAAATGAAGGAATGG